GCTTCCTCTTCCTCTTCCTCTTCCTCTTCCTCTTCCTCTTCCTCTTCCTCTTTCTCTCTATATATATTAGAATAGATTTACTGGGAGATCCCATAAAGTTAGGATTCATATTCCACTAATTTTAACATTACGGTTTTTCACTTGGAGCACATGGATTTGTGACCAGTTTTATAAGTCACCTTTTTAATAAAACATTGGTTGCTTCAAATCTGTAACATGATTGTTATCTGTGACATAGGTAGAACTTTGTTCAGCAGCTGTCTTGTCCATGGAATTTGCCCCAAGTAAGGTTTCTTTAAAGCCTGTAACATAGAAATAAAAGCTGGAAAATTATTTTTTTTCTCCTGTAGTCTTTTACATAACCTGCAGAAGTTATTAAATTGCCTACAGTTGCTACAACAGGAATGAAGAATGCTGTCCCTTATAAGGCATCACAAGCTGTCCTGTGCTTGAATATAAGGCTATTCTATAGGGAATTCCTCCCTCCGCTAGGAATTAGAAATTAGATGGGCTAGAAATTAGGCTTTCTCCGTTGTACCCCTCGCAGCATGGAATGCAGTGCCCACAGAGGTGTGCCTCACTCCCTCTTTTCTGGCATTCAAGATGTTAAAAAACATTCTTTTCACACAGGCTTTTGGTACCTAACTGTTAAGTGCCATCCTGTATTTTATGTACCTGTGTTTTAAGTATTTATTAAACACAATTGAGATATCTCTTTTGTGCTGTTTTATATTATTGTACACCACTCAGACTCCTGGGATTGGGTATTATAGAAGTTTTTCTAATAAATACATCTTGTCTACTGCAAAGCAAAAAAAAAGTGCTGTTCTCTAAAGGTACAGTGGTATGTTGTATAACTGTGCTTAATGTATAGTTATCAACCTTGTTCTATTAAAACATTCCCAGTTTTAAAAAAAAGTTATGTGCATTTTGTTTTCTCAGGTTATAACACAGAGGTCTTCTTTACTTTTTAGTGATGTAGGTCAGTTATCTGTAAAAGATCTCTGCCACTTCAAGAAAATTACAAGAAGTAATACTGATGAAATGGACTTAAGAATGCGAGATACAGGAAATGATAGTGCCAGCACTGCTCCAAGGAGCACAGAAGAATCTCTTTCAGAAGATGTATTCACTGAATCAGAACTGTCTCCTATACGGGAAGAGCTTCTTGATGATCTTCGACAAGACAAATCTTCTGGAGCTTCATCTGAATCTGTCCAGACAGTAAACCAAACTGGCACAGAATATGTAACAGATATTTCAGACTCTGCTAATAATACTGGGGGTATAAACTCCAGTAGAGGACAACCTTTGAATGATGGCAGTGCTTCTGTTAATGATACTGTGGGGTCGAAAGCAGCAGAGATAGCAATAAAAGAAATTCAGAATATTGTACAAAGATCTACTGCTGATGCTCAAGCACAACATGGCACATGTCAGGAACCTATAGTAGGAGATATACTGGAGAGTGAGCAGCATTTGCATTCTGAAAGAAATGATTCTAAAAAGGGGGCTACAGATGAAGGGAAATCTCTGAAAGAGCCAACTCAAGATTCTGAGACAGACATAGAGATGCTGCGGAAGCTTTGGAAGAGTCATAGTATGCAACAAACCAAGCAGCAAAGGGATAACATGCACCATGAAGTGCATAAAGAAATGAAACACAAAATGGCAACAGCGGATGGTACTATAGAAGGTAAGAGGTTAAAGTTAATATCACGTAACCATAAAATTTCTTAATAAATTTTAATTCTTCGTGTATATAGTCAGAAAATTTTTTTACTGTATTCCCAATTATATTTTAATCTAAATGAATCACATGGTAGTGTGAAATGTACTATTTCTGAAGGATCAGATTTCTGGGGGAGAAAGGAAGAGATGGCCCAACATTACTTTTAGCAACATTTTTGTAGCATTGCATTATGAAGAAGAGGAGTTAGAAAGAGTTATGCATTAGAAGTTAAATAATTGTTAGGAATATATTGAGAAAATAATAGCATAACCAGAAAGGAGGAGATAAGTGGTCTCAGAGTGGATAATTTAGTTTTTGGCATAGGTGGGAGAGTTCATCCACGTTGAATAAAAGCAGATAGATTTATATGAATAAATAGATAAATCATCAGTATAAAATTTACTTCAGAATTTTTTCAGTTGGGCTGAAATACTTAATTTTAAATGATTTTTTGCTGTAATTATGGTAAGAGATACTCTACCTTCTTTTGTCCTTTTTCCTTATCATCTTAGGTTTGGAATTTTTTTAAAAAAACTTTGCTTCTAAATAACAGCTTCATTTTTTATTTACCTTTTCAAACTGTACCTACTATAACATAACTGAAGGCTTTATTTTTTGATGAAATGCCTACAATTTCCACATCAATCTATTTGTAATGAAAGTTGTTATATGAAATGGTAGGAAAATTCAAACTTAACTGCTATAAAGAACTACATAAATATTGAACATCTCTTGCTGCAAGACAAAACACAAAATAAGATTCAGAGCAGAGCATCCTTGATATTTTTTATGCAGATTGGAAAGCTGTGTCACTGCATATTTTAAATGGACAGTAGTAATTTTTCAGTTATAAATCTGTGTATGCATGCTGTTCTAAATAGATGCTTCACAACACAAGCACCTCCCTTTGAATTGTTAAAATAGCTCTGTCTTTTTCCAGGCATACACAGCTGCTTTGTAATCAGCTCTTAGCTGTCTCTTCATGTACATATATGCATGGCTTCTTTCCTGGGGGAAAAATTTTCAGAGTGTTTGCATAGCCCTATTATCTTTTTATATTTTCTCTAATATTTAATGTATTAGTTGTACTTATTTCCTGTCTAGAATGAGGCATACAAGATTTTAAATCCATTCTGTGTGGTAAAATACAGCAATAAATAGATACATAAATAAATAATTTATAGCATCTCCCTCCTTTCTCTTGGTCTTTTTCCGTGTCCAGTTTTCCAACCATTTCCCCATTATCAGTGGGAAAACCATAGCTTTAACTATTTTGATATCCATTGTCATAAACATATTTTTAATCTTTCATGAGCTTTGTAAGTTTGTACGAACTTTGTGTGAATTAAAAGAGTCTAAATTATTAGAGTAGCATACAAATTTGATAAATAAATACAGGATGGGGGATAATATTTATCCTGGTCTCATTCCTTTCCATATTCTGAACTACTCTTTATTTCCAAACTTAGTTTTTTACACTAGCTTCTTGTTCATGATAAAGGTTCCTCAGAAGAATAATCATGTGCCCTGGCATGCCCTTTGGACTTATAGACAAAGGTCATGCTGGATAAATAAAGCAAAGGTAAATCTTGTTAAATTCTCTTCTCTCTCTATTAATCATCTTACGTTTCTAGACCACACAACACATACTTGTAATTGTTGACAAAGAGCTGTTAGCACTTTAACTGCCTCTGGTGCCATTAAACAGTTTAGTAGATATTTCATCTGGGCCTGGTGCCTTTGACTCTTGGTTTATTGCCTCTCATATCTCACCTTCTAGTGCTATTGTTTCTGAATATACAGTATTCTCTCTCTACAAATGTTTATGTTGTTCTTTAATGCCAATTTTTAAAAAATTTAGAATAGTTCTTCCATCTCCCCTTAAGCAAAGTTATCTAGATAGCATTGCTTCCACATTTAGGCTTAATTAGTCCTACCTTAACTATAAATTTTCTTTTAAACTCTAAACATTTTTGTATTAATATAGTTTTGTACCTATTGCACTAAAGATGTTCTCTTTCTAAAAGTTACTTGTATCGCTCTTGATAGAGTATGGTCACAGTAGGTCAGTGTTGTCCAAACTTGGCCACTTTAAGATGAGTGGACTTCAACTCCCAGAATCCCCTAGCCAGCCATGCTGGCTGACCATTGGCCAGCAGAAGAAACATTCCTCATGGAATGTTCCTCTCAAACATCAGAATCAGGACAACTGAAGTGTTGTCCAAACTTGGCCACTTTATGAGTGGACTTCAACTCCCAGAATTCCCTAGCCAGCCATGCTGGCTGAACATTGGCAAGCAGAAGAAACATTCCTCATGGAATGTTCCTCTCAAACATC